GAGTTTATGTTGAAATATTTTATCGAGCATAAAGGACTCCTCAATAGTTGTCCTGTTCTTGTTTAATAATTCTAGTCAATGGAGATACTAATTTTATTCTTTTACTTCATTCCATTCCTATTAACATATGTTTTCAACTAATTAATTATTTTTTAATTATACTTAAACACGTTTTTACTTAATGCATCGAGCATGTTCGTTCCTAATGGAAAGGAGAGTTAATTACTAACTTTATTATAATTATAAGTTATAAGTAAATGCACATACTTTAATCACTATTTTGGTCCAATATTATATTCAGCGTTGAATCTTGATAATTAAGTGCACATGCAAAGTACCCTAAATTGCAAAAAGGTTATCTAGGGTGTGTTCGGTATTAAATTATTCTCAAATATCTTTAATGTTCGGTTGATTAAAAAAAAAATTAAAAAATCTAGAAAAATAAGTTTCAGCGCTATGCCCATGACCCCACATCCCTTCACTCCGCATAATATTTATCTAGATTACATAGTGCAATATTTTTAGAATAATATTTTTTTTGTTACCTACCGAACATAAAAAGATAAACAAATAACCCACTTATTTTCGTAGAAAATATTTTTCTTAATGCCAAGGACACCCCTAATTTCATTTTAATTTCCAATTAGCTAGTTAACAATATATAATACCACTTCATAACTTGGTGATCATTAGATTTTTCAATTTAATTTTATATTAATCAATTTTGATTTTGAAAAGAGCTATTTAATTTGAATAAAAATAAATTTGACTTGATTCAATTTTATTTTATCTTCGATTTGGTTTTTCAATTATAAAGTGCTTCAAATGGCATTTCTTTTTGAGGTTATGCTAAGCATCAAATGATGTGTAGTGATAAGCATCAACCCTAAGGTATATTAAGTAATCAAAATTAATATGCTATAATCATATGGATTCTAGTTAATTAACTTTATATATATACTACGTTTTAATTTAACTTATTAAAACGTGTTACTTGTCATTTATCAAAGTTACTAATCAATACTTATATAGTGTAGGTTGTAACTATTTTTTAAATGGTCCGACAATATAATAGTATAAGAATTAAACTCTATTACTATCTTTAGTGGTAATTAATTAACGATAATAATTTAATTACCGCAAAATAAATATGTTTAGTGATGATTAGCGCTTTTTGTAAATGTTCCTAAAGAGTATAACGAGATTGAATCCAAATACAATTAATTGGTACCGATTAAAGCGTTAACACTCTTTATTAATATGTATATTTTTTACCGCTAAAAAATATTTTTGTTATAGTATACACATTAATAGTCCGCTTAATACTTTCTCTGTTCCGAAATGAGTGGTTTTTGTAGCTTAAGCCTAGAAAATAAGGAGTGTGTTTACTAACTTACCCTAATCAAAGAAAAGTTAATCAATGGTTCTTGGTCATGTAAACAAGGGTAATTTTGGAAGAATAAGATCAATTCCTTCTCGTAACCCAAGGATACCACTTATTTTGAAACATAATGGAAAAGCTAAAACATCACTTGTTTTGAAAACGAGGGAGTATGTAATTAAGCTGCATCATTTTACCTTCTTATGTGCAAATATTTGTACTCCCTTGTTTGTTTACTTGTTTATATTTGAGTTGACACATTCTTTTAAAAAAAAAAAAAAAAAATTATTTTATTTTATTACCTTTAATTATTATTGAAAAATAAATGACGTAATAATAAGGGTAAAATAGGTATAAAATAATATATAATTTTCTAAATTTTCATGGTGACCAAATAAAAATGAATATCTATTTTCAATATAGTAAACAAGTAAAAATAAATCGAGAAAATAGTTATTTAGTGCTCAAATAACATAAAATAGTATATAATTTTTTTTATTGATAAAAAATGTTGGGTACAAGGATAATCACCTATTCTTTCTTTTTCTTTATTACGTGTTGGAATAGTATTTTCTGTTGAATAGTAGTGGCTATAAACGTTTCCAAAATTCGAATATGATGACAAATTTGTGGATTAGAGAATTTTAATAACAATTAATTAATGTTTAACGAATTAACCTCTCTTTTAATTAACAAATACCTTCACGTAATGATTTTATGATAACCTCATTTGAAATAGAATACGGAAACAAAATCTATACAAATTCAAAAAATAAATTTTTATTTATTCATGATACGAAAATGAAAAAAAATAATTAAAAAAATACAACTGTTCAATTTGTAAAAATATTTTTGAATTTTTAATAAAAAAAATAACTGACCAATAAAGTCATTACCGCTGTGTGGTCCTGCTAGATGGGTGGATTACTACAACTTGCTACTGTTTAGGAGGGACTATATGAGTAAATACTTATTCGCATCGAGTACTACGTAAATCAAATCATGTAAATTTACTATAGTTAAATGAGTTAACGAAAAGAGAACACAAGTTTGTTAGTAATGGTAAAGTTGATTAACAATTTTTTTTTTCAATTCAGTAAAGATTTGTGCATTTTCTCGAATATACATTATTATGTAAATAAGTTAATCTTTTAAAACAGACTTAGTATATCAATAACCCTTCAAATTTGCTATTAAATTTCTGTTTAGACACGTAAATTATAATTTGTTTAGATTGAGCACTTAAACACATGATAAAGTGTTCCTACTACACTTTCAAGTTATATTTCGAAAAAAACTTTTGCATGTAATCTTGTATGTTCATTACATAGATAAATTAACCACTTAAAATATATTAATATACCTAGTATAATCTCACAAATGCTCGTCCAAAGAGTGTAAGATGTAAGATAGTCCCTTTACTCGAAAGAGAAGATATTCAAACCAAATCTGAAATATGTCATATACTTTGATTATGCACTCATTCTCAATTGTAACATGCTATGATGTTTTATCACTTATAAAGAATAATTCGTATATCTTAAGTACATAGTCACTTTTGTTAGTGAGCATCTTTCAATGTAGGAGTTTTCAGCGCGAATTTGAATTTAATCAAGCTTCAATATGAATATACTAGATATCGGATAAAAAAATTTTTGAAAAAAGAGAGAATAATTCGCATAATCAATATAATTACACAACTAATTTACCTCTATACTCATCTTTTTAAATTATTGACCCTGATATCAATTCTTCGATCAAAATAATCAAAAGAGATTCTCTAAACATAATTACACAACTTAAAATTTCTTAGTGTTTGGGTTGCTCCAAGTCTTTGGAGTACTAAATAGTCTAATATTCAAAGGGACACGTGGAAGCTAAGTAACACACTTATAACTTTTGGACCACTTGTGATGGCTCTCTGTCACATCGCAAGTATTCTATTCCACATAATACGCTATCCCTCGCGTTTTAATTTGTTCGTCTTTTTTAATCGATTTATAAAGAATATTTATTAAACTTAAAGGTATTTTATAAGATTCGTAAGGTATATATGTTGTGTATCACACACACTTTTATTTAATGATCAAAACAAGATTCAAATAAAAGTTTTCCAAAGACCTTTGTTCATTTTTATTTACTATTTATTATAACTTGTATATCATAGATTATTGATTTGATCCTTTATCCATGTACAAGTATTTAAGTCCATTTTTTTTTGTTAAACTTAGAACGGTCAGTTTCACACTAATATCAAAAGTGAAAATAAAATTTATTTATGGGCTTTCACCAAAGAAAAATTAAGGAAATTTCATATAGATGCATCTCGAGATATTTTTTTATTATATGATTATTTGCAGCAACTAGGTTTAAATTATATACAAAACCATGTAACTAAGAATATGCCTCATATTTTTTTTTCACTTTAATTAATCTAGAATGAAGTCTTAAGGTCTTTTAATTTGGTTCAGACCCCATAGACTGTTTTCTTAAAAATTCCATGACTTTGGTCTAAGATTATTAATATTTATATTAACAAGCAACAAAGACGCTTTACTGTTAAAAATAGTAGAGCCAATTATGCACTCTCTCTCATTATAAAAAAAATACGCTCCCCTTTTAGAATTCCATCATAAGTATGTTAAATTATTAATTACTCCATATATAGGAAAAGGCAAAAAAAAAAAAAAAAGGATTTGTGTACAATTGTAATTGAATTTTTAGTACTATTGTGTAATAAGAAATGGACTTCATAAACTTAACTCAATTTTAAAAATTTGCTCATAAAATAAGATAGTTGTCTAAGATTATATAAAGAGACTAAAAACTCCATCCACAATCGATGTAGGAGTTAAACATGATATTTGCACAATTACAACCAAACATTTGGAGCGTGAACAATGTAAGACTGAAGTGTAACATCGGGTAAATCAATGGTTGAGATTGATATGACTCTAATACTATGATAAATATAAGAAATGAAATTTGAATCTAATTCAACTAGAAGTTAGTTCATGAGATAATGATTATTTAATATTAAATAGAAATAGACCAAAAACCCCATCCACAATCGATGTGGGACTTTAACGTTGCATTCACACAATCAGAGAGTTGGAAATCTGAAACGTGAACAATATAATATGGAATTCAACATCGAATAAAACAAGAGTCGAGATGAGTCTAACTAACTCTGATTTTATATATATATATATATAACTTCGAAAGCTAGCTAGCTCAGGAGGTGAAAATTGTCCAAGAAAATATATAAATAAATCAAAGACCCCATCCACAATTGGCGTTGACTCTAACACACAATCCTCTCACTCCGTGTAAGCTCGTCTCCATCCAATATTATTAAAAAAAAAGTTTCTTTAATTAGCATTAGAAGTTCTACATTTTCTAGCACATAAAATGAAAAACAATATTAAGAAACTCATCGGATAAAATAAATCTAAAATAAATGTACACATATATATATTTATTAAAAAAACATAAAACTAAGTAATTGATGGAAATTTGGTACATAAAAGCTACAAATGTGTTGCATAAGAATTTTAAAAAAATAAATGTAGATGCTTTTATGGTGATTAATGATAACTCTATATGAATCTCCAACCTCTTGAGGTACTTTTGGATACTATATTTGTATCACATCTCATTGTTCAATTGTTGTAAGAAGCACACATCTTCAATATTCCATGGATTTTCCATCCATTGTGTATTGTTTTGTTGATCCACTTCTTGGAATCCTTGAAATCCAGGGTGAAAATTATAACTTGTGGGATTAATTGTGGATTCTCCATAGCAAAATTGATTAGTACTTTGATTAACTTGAGAATGATCTTGATTATTGCTTTGGTTAATTGAGAAATTGTAGCAACCATCAGTTAGGTCGGATGAGTAATTATCCGATGACGCTGAAGTTGCTGAATAATTAAGATTGTTTGTTTTCTCAATATTCATCAGTTGGATAGGTAAGTATTCAGGCACATGATGATTCATGTTTGGTAGTGGATGTTGAATTTCTTGATTTTGGATATATGTGGTGGTGGTGGTGGGGCCGGAGGAAGAAGCCGCCGTTGGGTTGGATGTAGCCGCGGCGGCGGCTTGTATTCTTTCGGCTAACCTTGGCATCCAAAGATACTTCATGGTATCTTTGAATTGCTTGCTGTTCACGTCACATTTGAGTTGTTTTGCATGCTTTTGTACTCGAGTTCGCCAATAATTTTTTATCTCATTGTCTGTTCTTCCGGGGAGATGTTGAGCGATTTTAGACCAACTACACAAAAGAAATGAAAATCATATTAAACACTATAGTAGTTAGTTACTACTAATAGCAAATAACACATAGTTTAGTTATTTTAATGTGGTACTATTATTGAGATTGTGAACATACCGATTGCCCCAACGAGAATGCAATTCAAGAATCAAGAGTTGTTCTTCAAGAGTAATATTGCCACGTCGAACATCTGGTCGAAGATAATTAAGCCATCTTAATCTACAACTTTTCCCTGTTCTCTTCAAACCTGTTTAATTAATTGATTCACAACAATTTATTAATTATAATATGCTTCTCATGACTGATTTTGCCAAATTAAACTTTAAAAGAATATTTCAAAAATAAAGTATTAATAAAAGACAGTATATATGATGCATAAAACATTTTGTGTTTCAAACATACAAATACTACTTTTTAAGACTACTACTTCCCCACCCAAAAAGAAACACTTTTTTCCTTTCTCTTTATCAGATTAGACAGGTGCTCAGCAGTTAAAAAATTACCTAATTGTAAAGAAAAAAAATATATACAACAACATATCCATACAAATATTTATCTACGTGAAGATATTGTCTTTTTATACAAAAGAAAAGATAAAGAAATACATGTTGGAATAAAGAAAAAGATGGTTTCTCGAAAAAAAAGATTACTGATTCAACTAACTCGATAAACATGATTTATTAACCAGAAATTTGGGGTTCGAACTTTTTAAGAATAAAAAATTGATAGTAATAAACACTTATTCCTTAACATGCCTTACACAAGTATGGACGTAGATTAGTTGAATGACCTTAGGTCATTGGAGAGACGTTCGACTTCTCATGAATAACCAAATATAAAAGGTTTTTATGATAACAAAAAGAATAAAAATAATTACCAGCACAACGGGCAAGGGAATTCCAACGACCTTCACCATGATGAGCAATAAAATTGATAAGTGTAAAGTCTTCTTCAACGGTCCATGGACCCCTTCGAAGATCCATAACAACATCTTCCTCCTTAATTTCTTGATTATTTTCATTACAATCTCCTTGTCTTCCTTCTCGTCCTCGTCCTGAATCAACTTCAATTTTCTGACCATGATATTCCATCTAAACTTTTTTTTTTTTGCTTACTCAAAATGAAGAAACTAATTGATTGATACAAAAAAAAAAGGGTACAAATAGAGAAAAAGAGAGAGAAGTATTAATATGATATAAGAAGAGAAATGAATATTGGATTAGTACATAAGGACATAGAAGTTGATGGGACATTATAAAGATTTTTTTTAAAAATAAATAAAAATAAAAGGTGGGGGAGAAGTTTGAAAAAATTGTGTTAGAAAATAAAAGTGGCATGTGAGGGAAAGAAGAATTTAGAAGTAAAAAAAAAGTCTATAGTTGTAGTAATAATACTATGTATCCCACAAAGCCGCAATAAGGAGAAAAACTTGATTTTTCAACTTTTTAATTCCATAGTTCAATTAAAGTAATTAAAGCTTCACTTTGATTTTGACTAATCCTTCTACTTCATCACCATATTTAGTTAATTTTTACTTGTCTATTTTAATATTTTTTTAAAAAATAAATTGATATAAATATTTTAATATAATATTCATATTATTTGATGATGTATAGTTTTAAGTATGGAAAATAATTTGAAGAATAAGTATTTAATATTGACGATAAAATAAGGAAAAAATAATTATATTTTTTTGATATGTTAAAATTAACAAGTAAAAGTAAAATTTCTATTGTTAAAATATTGGATAAGTGACAGTGAACATGGTTAGTATTTTCTCGTTTCAAATTAACAGTCACTTTAGCTAAAATAAAATAAAATATCCTAATATACTTTTCATTTCATTTCGCTTGACATTAGGTTTGTTGGCATTATTGGCAGCACAAGTAGACATCACCCTTAAATAAAAAATAAATTTTCTTTTTTTAATTGTTCATTTTAACAAATTAAGAGGGGGGAGGGGGGGGGGGGGATTCCTGATATTATCTTTATCATTAATTAACTACATAAGATATTAATTATCAAATTTAAATTTCTAAAATATAATTAATAAAAATAATTTAATAAAATAACTCCTTAATATATATTTTCTTAAGAAAGGTATCAAATTATCATATGCCAAAAGAATAAAATGAAGGAACTAATTATTACTTTAAAAATTCAAGACTAATGTCGACAATGGTATTCAGTTATACCATTAATATTAAAGTGTACACATAATACTTGAGAACAAAAAATTAATTTATTTTTAAATAAAAAGAATTTAATAAACAATATTTATATTTTAGTTTTTTTTAATAAATATGAAAAAAACTAAAACGATCGTTAAAATGGAATGGTAGTATAGAACTTGTTCCATGGTTTTCCCTAATTAGGCCTTAACTATACTTTATCTTATTTTCTTTTATGCGACGTAATTTTTTATTTTTTTTGTTAAACAATTTTTGACTTTCTATCTTCAACTTAAAATGGAATAAGATGACCACTGGAATTATAAATTGAAACAACATGGGGATTTATAATTTATACCCACTATAAGGTGTTTTAAGCTTTATATTTAGTTCAAATTAAATGGTTTTAAAATAATCAAAAAGGTATTAATTAATTTTTTCCAAATTTATCTTTCTTTATATAACTGGATTTTTATATAATCAACAAATCACATTAATTAAATAGGAGATATTATTTAATTAAGCTAGTAATTTAGTGAAAAACACTTCTTACTTTTTAGGTGTGAGTAGCTTCTTAATACGTTTGTCCAAAGTAAAAACACCAAAAAATGTGGTGCGTAGGGAGTATTTCCCCTTTTTATTTTTTGTGTTTTAATTTGCATAAAAACAGTTTTTTTTTTTTTTAAAAAAAAGAGAACTTCTAAATCTTACAATTTTTAATTAAAAAATCATGACCGATATAATTAAAAATTCTAAAAATATGTGCAAAAACAACTTGATATATTTAAATATAATTGAAGACATTTTTTATTACATTTTTTTTCTTTCGCAAATATGAATATCTTTTTTTTTTTTTTCATAACATATTAAATTACAAATGTTTAAATAACCTACTATGATTTTCTCAATGAACTGAATTGAAGATGCGTGAGCATAATTTACATAAAACCAAAAAATGGCTGATAATTTAATGAGCTATTTACTATTTTTTTTTATATTAATGAACTTTAAAAAATTTAGCCCACTATCATTTGTGTACCTTCATAATTATTAATTATAATATATATATAAAAGAGATATCTGCATAGGCCTAGGCTATTGAAGTTTAAAGATTTTGGAAATTAATTTAAGTACTAAAAAATAATGTACTTTATCCCACTTCCAGTGTGGAATATTTATAGTTCAATAAATTAATTAAATCCCACGCTATACATAGTCTGACCCCAAATTACTCTAGTCTAGGCCTTAGAACTAATGATCATGGGCAAGAAGTAAAATACAAATAAAATAGGAGTTTAAAATGTAAACACATATAGTTACTGAAAAATGTGCAAGATGATCAACTTTATGCACTTTTAAAAAGAATAAAAAAATTTATATTTGGAATTTGATTTTAAAAAGGTATAATTTTTTTTGAAAAGATTCGAAATATAAGAGATTAATCTAATTCGATTAAAGGTTGATCCAGAATTTGAAGTTTATTGATTTCTACAACAACCTCAAATTAATATACAATAAAAATTAAATTCATAGTTAAATATTTAGTAAATTTCTAGATACATATACAATATTGAATTCTGATGAACTCGTATATATCATATATCCAACACTTAGTGATGTGATGATGCTCACATCCTTATCAAGTTCTGTTCACTATTAAAAAATTGCTAATTTTTGATGAAATCCATTGATATTGTTTTCGTTGAAAATTCTTTACATTTATTTGAATTGTGCCGTAAATTTAATGACATTTCTTTCTATATAGTTTTATTAATTGCTAATATATATAGGGGATGGCTCCTACTAATAAAAAAAAAAAATAGTCGACCACACTAATAACAAATGCAATATTGACATGCTCCAATATTTATCATGGACACTTTGCGCCAACAATTTTCAACTTTTCATTAATTAATTAATTCATTAATAAAACTATAAGAGCATGAGGATTGAGGGGGCTACAATAATAAAAGTCAGATTTAAGTTATTTACAATAATAGTGTAGAAAAATTAATACTTAATGACTATCATTTAAATTGTTATAGAATTACTTGTAATTGTATAAACAACTTAAAATTCAAAAAAGATTGCTAGGCGAAGCACAATTATCCCAAATTATTGCACTTTAAAAACATGTTATTTTATGTGAATTACTGATCGTTTTGCGATGCTAAATATTTTTGGATGATCGATATGTGAATTAATGTCCCGAGGAAAGGGTGGAAAACCTCTATTTGAAAGTATAATAGAACATGAAATCATAAGCTTCAAAACAACGAACGAGTCAAGATTTTGATCGTGTTCCCATTTAAAACTAAACCTATATATAAAAAATTAATATTAATTGAGTGAATTATGCCCTCTTCTTTTTTATTTGCTTAGAATATAAAGATTTTTATTTATATACTAAGGTTAATCCATGCAAAGAGGAATAATCTAAATGATTCAGTTCCAACAACATCTTTATAGAAAACATTTGTTATAAAGAAGGAAATGCTTCAAAAATAAAAATCAACATAGAGATTTAAGAAAAAATGATAAGATTTTTTATATCTATATATAATTCTTAAATATATCATAGAATTTATGTGGTTATAAATTTTTTGAATTTCATACTTGGCATTCCTTAATTAACATATTCTTCTTATTCTCTATTTTGACCCTTAATTCCAACTTCAAAGTAAAAAAATTAGCAAATTTTAAAAATGAGAATAAAATGAGAAAGTGTAAAGTCCATCATAATTTCGAAATGTAAAACTTTATCATTTAAAAAAAAAAATAGATAAATTAAAATAAATAAAATATTAATTAGTGGCAGTATCAAATACCATTATACTACGAAAGAAAAGTGAACCCTCCATGATTCCATATATTTTCCAATTTCCTTCTTGCTTTAGCCATCAACTTGAACTTTGAACATTAGTTAGCATCGTGTCTTCATTCGACTTTCGTAATAAATTCTATTTGTCCTTAGTCGTTTTGAATTATACTTTTGTTAAAGTATAAGTTTCTCCATAATTGTGATTTGCATCTTGGATCAACTTGATTTATACTCATTACACTATCTAGCTAGCTAGCTAGGTAGACTTTTTTTTTTTGGTCTTAAACTCTAAATTACCCCAGGCATCTCTAAAGGTATAGAAATTAGAGAATAATTAAAATAAATAGTCATTCATCAAACTAATAAATAGTAACTGTAATTTCTTTTATATATTATTAATGTATGATATACATAAAATAATATATATATTTTTTGTATATACATTTAACTAGCGAATATTATTATTTTGCTCGATCAGTTAAATATATAATTACCTTGCTCTATCTTATGTACTATATTTTAAGATGTTGAATTTGCTTATTGCTTATGAATCAAACTTTTAGCAACAAAAAGTCGATATTTTTACATAAAATCAATTAAGGGAAATTGAATTAAATAGTGCCGATCAAAATAAGATAATATATATATATAAAAGTAAGAGATCTTTATTTTTAATTTATAGTTTTTTATAGTTTAATTATTATTTTACGAGAGATCTTCATTTTTAAAAATAAAAAATCTTCATTTTATAGATGGATTTAAAAATTTATTTTCTATTATTTAATTTATAAATAGTAAAAAAATCTTGCAAAGGGTCAAGATAATATTTACTACTCTCTATTCACTTTTACATATCATGTTTCATTTTAGGGGAGTTATATGTGATCAATCTTCTGTAACGACCCGAACCGTCGTTATTTAGGAGGAATAAAAAATTCGGAAAAAATTCTGGGCCATTCTCCCGCCAGAGCGGGCTAGATATCGCCAGGGCGGTGGCGCTAGGGCGGGGTAAGTTGGCGCCAGAGCGGGATAATCGAGACAGAACATAAATTATGAGAAATTTTATTTTCTCCATCTTCCTATAATACCTAAATAAGTCGTAAAACACCCCAAA